ATTTTTTTTTTTTTTTTGTCAAAGACATTGAAGTTGATTTCACGTTGTGTCAAGTCCACCTTTTAATTCTTTTTTCATCAAATTGCCTTTGCTTTTGTCTCCTAATCGCTGTCAATCTCAGTTGATGATTTTAGTTTTACAAGTGGGATTATTCTAAAAGTTACTTTGTTAGCTTCCTGATCTTGAAATGTTAATTTTAATAATTCTTCTTTCATTAAGTTTCACTTTTTATTTGACAAAATACTACTTGACTTATTTTAAATTTAACTTCTGTAACAACTTAAAAGATTTTTTATACTATCATGTCATCTAAATTACTCTATATGAATAACAGCATAGTTAAATTCTTTTTAATCTTTTCCATCCTTTTCTTGTTTTAGGTGCCGAAAGTGGTTACACCATTATTATATATGTGGAACACCTCACCATAACTATTCCCCTCGTCAACCAAGTGGTTTCTTTACTATTTCATTGGATAAGTAAAAGATTTTGAATTAGGTATGGGGTAAATCATAACCAACTTCAGTGCAACTTTATGAATATATGATACGACAAAAAATATGAGAAAGGAAAAGAAACCAACTTGTCAAGTATTGTTGCTACCAATGAAGAATTGATCTAACTGCTACACAAAGCTGATTTCCAGTTGCACAAGTCCTTATACTCGTTCGAATAGAAAATTTGATATATCAGAAAAATTATCAAGATCTCTGTATAATACTCCACTTGAGTTTTGGATCATCCCATTTTCATATAATATAACTTTCATGTTTCTTAACAATTTCTTAAGCAGATAAGACATCCACTTTTTTGTTATCACACCTAGACTAGATATAAGAATTTAAATTGTAATCGACCCCAACCTTGTTCAAAAAACATAAATTTTAATTAAGAAACATGATCAATAATATTTATATATCCGATTTTAACTTATTTTGGACCGAGAGTGCTATTTGTATATCATGCCTCTTTATAATTTATAATTTATTAAAATGACATTTTTAGATCTCTTATATATATATATATAAAAGACAAATCTCTTACGTGTAAAAGTAAATCTTCCATGTGTAAAAAAAAAGAGGTAGGATCATAAAACTAAAAACAAACTTGTAAAGAGCCACAAGATCAATTGACCCGGACTGAGACGTGTAATTGTTTTTGTATATATATAAGAACAAGCTCTACCGCGCCACCCAGCCTAGTGGTGCAATCTTCTTTAACAAGGGCAGGAAGATGATAATAAGCCAAATGGGGTTTCTCTTTATTCCTTTAAAAATGATTTTAGATAAAAAAAAGAAAAATCTTTAGGCGAAATAAGCCATGAGAAACACCTAGCGAAACAAGGGGTTCATATTCTATGGTGGATCCAACAAGTATAACTTGGTGTTTCGAGGTCCAACCTTATCTATACGTTACTATATAAGTGTAAAAATAAGTATATATAAGGTTACATATACATTTTATAACTCAATGTTCCGGGATCGAATTTTGTATATATGTGCTAAAAAATAAGTATATGTAGAGTTAATTATATGTTTTTAAAACTTACATTTTCAATTCAGAATTCATTGCTAGGGCAGAGCTAGAGTATTAGGTAGAGTACTAAGTTTCCCCGCTAGCCATATAGTGATTGGTGCAGATTGGGGGGGTGTTTAGGTTCGTTAAAGTCTCTTGGGAAATAGTTGTCTCGCATTCTCAAAACTGTGCGTATATTAAACAGTACAATACAATCTGGATGCTTAGCGATACTGAGTTTATAAATATGCCTAGTCCGTCTTCGTGGGTGTGCGTCTGTATGTATTATATTTTGATAATGATATAAAGCTTTCAGAAAATTGACAAGCATTTTCAAAAGGCAGTCTAACTTCTTTAATACTTTATTTTTTCTTTCTTTATAGTACTTTAATCTTAGTTTATAAATTATACACTATTTCATTTGTCTGTTATTGTTTCCTCTGCCTTTATCCAGCTGCCCCTAAATGCCACTTTTTTTCTTCTTTCTTGTATAACCATGATTGGTTTCTTATAGTTTCTGAAACTTTCATTAGCTTCAATTCTATAATTTGATTTGAAGATTACCTAAGAACCAGTAGCTGTTCTAATTTGCAGAGGAGTTGCTTCATATTGATGAACAGGTTGATCCTTTAATCTGTTCTAAATACAGTTCTTTCTCAATTACTTGCAGCTCATCTCTTGTACTTCTTTTTATTAGTATTGTTTTACCTGGAACAGTTGAATTCTTGGATATATATGATTGTCTCTACAGTCTCAACACACACACACACACACACACACACACACACAGAGAGCAGAGTGATATATAGTAATAGATGCAAGTGTATGTAATGCATGTGTGTGCTTTTTACAATAATACTGTTATTTGTATTACTAGGTTTTTGTTGTTTTTCTTTTCTGTTCATTGATACATGAAATAATCTGGAGCATACAATTTCTTAGACGAATATTTGGTCAAGCTCTGATTTTTCTAAGTGTGTTGAGCAGCATGTTCTAATATACACTCAAGTTCTCTAATAAGAGGTTTTTTATCACGATTTCTTAAAGTGTATCTTGGTATATTTGACAATTGAGCAAATTTTTCAGCTAAATTATTGTGTTCCTATTCTAGTGTTTGAGAATATTCCCAAATAGTCATATGCCTTCATTGTGTTCCTTTTTGATGGATTTTCTTACTGGAAATTGGAATCCCTCTTTCTTTTTCCACTTCAGGAGGGGGTTGGTGGGTTGAGTTGAGGTTATACAGTAAACTGCAATTTCTTAAAGACAAAAATTTAGATGTGGTTTTAGAGGCATCTTCCCTACAAGTCTTTCCAGTTAGGTTTTGTACATAACAGGGCGTAACAGGAAGCGCTCACTGTTCATGGAGCACTCGGTCGCCTGGCAGACTAGAAAAAATGAACAAAAAGTAGTTAAGTCACCTTCAGGCTTTCTTATTCCAGGAAAGTATGTAGTTGCAAAAATCAAAATAGTAGTTCTAAAATGTTGGCCCTATTAGTTTGTTGTAGGTCATGAGCATGTAACTTGTTTTGAATTTCTCTTTATTTTATATAAGCCCTTTCTTTAAGGTTATTTTTGAATTGTGTCCACTGCAGTAACGAGTTTACGTCCATCCCTGGCCGGGTACAGTTTCCTTTCGATTTCTCCCTTGTAGCCATTACCCGAATTCGTGCTAGTGTGTCCACACCCCCCAAACTTACTTGACAAGGAATCCTTTCTCGCGAACAAACACAACCCCCACACACACCTAAGAGCACCCCTTCCTGCATATCCATACATGCAAAACAACTCTGCAATTCATGATCATTTCCCTTTGGTGAAGGAAATTAAAACATAAACTTCAAATGATATCTTTGAAGGTCGAACTTCGCCAAAGCAATAACAGTTTTCCAGTATCTTCTGTCTGATTATTTCTTCACTAGTGATAATCCAAATGTGACTGTCCCTAATATGTTTAAGTAATATTCATTTTTTGGGTGGAAACTCAACTACAGTATATATCATGTCATAAAGCTATAGTAGATACCTTGTTCTTTCAAGTATGCCGAGATATTTCTTTGATAGAATTGCTACACTCTGGTGGCTTAGAAGTGCCTCATGTAGCTCATAAGATATCTGTTTTGTTTCTTGTCCTATCATTTCTCAGTTTCTTACACATGGATTTTCTGCTTGCTACTTTCTCTGCTGTAATCTCAAATTCGTGTCTAAGTTATATAATTTCTCTTTTTCATTTAGTCAATGAACATGAGTTCTCCATCAACACAATTTGCCCCCACGACAAGGATGGGCATATTCGAACCTTTCCACCATATGAGTATGTGGGAAGACGCATTTAGAGGTGAGATTATGCCCGGAACTGGTGCGTGTATGGTCGCACAGCCAAATGACAGGGTAGATGACAAGGTAAAGCAGCATATATGCATCTTCTGGCTAATAAAATCCAAGTTTTTGCAGTTATCCGACTGATATTTACTCGTGGTTATTGTAGTCTGGGTATACTTCAAGCGAACAACTTATACCCTCGGGCTCTGAGGATAATCAAGCTGGAAAGAGTGTTTCAGACAAGGTGGGCTCAATAGATCTTTCCCTATTTGTCTCACTTCTGGATTATCATGCGCTACAAGTTGAAACAAATTAATAGATAAACAAAAATTGCATCTGATATGTCAAGGCTAAGTATATCTTTATATTGTAAGATAGGTACAACGGCGTCTAGCACAGAATCGTGAAGCTGCCCGTAAAAGCCGTATGAGGAAAAAGGTAAGGGAAAATTGTACTCTTAATATTCCTCGCAGTACACATATTTGAAGGACTTCTGTCTTGATTTTTTCCAACTCTTTTTTTACAGGCTTATGTTCAGCAGCTTGAAACAAGCCGTATGAAACTAGCACAACTTGAAATGGAGCTTGAGAGAGCTCGACAGCAAGTCAGTGAAATCCTCTCCTGCACATTTTTCTAACTCGTAAAAAATATCTATCTGTGAACCATTATGGATACACTTGAGATTCTCTAACATCACGTAATGAACAATTGCAGGGATTGTACGTTTTAGGTTCAAATGGTAACATGGGGTTGAGTGCAACAATTAATCCAGGTTTGCAGATGCTAGAGTTGTCCCTTAATAGTTCATTGTTCATAAGTAGTTTAACTTATTAATTATTATTGTTCCTTTAAAATCATAATGTCAACTCAGCCAGACCTGCTCAATCCTCGTTCGTAAAATAATAGACTACTTCCACTGTTCATTAGCTTATGTTATGCACTGGTGTCTAGATAAAATCTTCACAATGTCTGTAGAAATGGTAAATTGATTACTTTTAGCTGATAATCGCATGCTACTAAGACAAGAATATTGCCTCACTTCCTCTGATGGTTCAGGTGGCTCATTAAGCACCCGTTTAAGACTGGTTTCTCGAATATCATGTTACTTTCTTGACAAACAGCTTGTATCTCTCTTTGACTTTGTTCCTAACCGGTGCTGCCAATGCAGGAATAGCTGCATTTGAGATAGAATACGGCCTCTGGGTCGAAAAGCAACAGAAAAAGAACATAGAGTTGAGGAATGTTTTGCAATCCCATGTAAGCGAAATGGAGCTTCAGTTGCTGGTAGAAAGTGTCTTAAGCCACTACTACAATCTCTTCCGAATCAAAGCTGATGCGGCCAAAGCTGATGTGTTTTACTTAATGTCTGGGATGTGGAGAACTTCAGTTGAGCGCTTTTTCCTCTGGATTGGAGGATTCAAACCATCAGAACTCATCAATGTATGTAGCCCCTGGTGCATTTTCACTTAGTAGTGTTTGATTTATTATAGTTCTCATAGTGTAGGTCATATATAAATATCCTGAAATAGTTATATAAATGTCTCGGGGTAACCATTTTGCCAATCTATGTTTAAAGAGTCTCCCCAATTTATGCTCATGTTACAGCTTTTGTTCGGTTTCTACCATGTCTATTTTCACATATTTATCCTTGCTGCATAGTGTGAAATTCTCATCTAATGATGTTTAGATCTAGTTGCATCCCTAATATCCATTTAGATATTTTGCTGAATCTACACTACTGATATCTATCTTGAATAAAACTCAAAAAAGTCAATCCTCTTTTCGACTAGTAATAACAATGGACAAAGAAGCATATTCAAAATCTCTGAACGGAAATCACCTCCATTAGTCTCATACATTTCTTTTCATCTCTTATTTGTGCACTTGTTTTAAATGATTAGTACTCGATATCTTGAATATTCATACTCTACGGAGATTCTTTGTCCTGATTATCAGATGGTAAGTGTTAGTATCCTCATTTACATGTACGCAACGCAACACTAGCAAGATTACTCCCATGAGCACTATCCATTAGTATTTAAATTCACTTAGTGTTATTTCTTAAATAAATATGAGAGTTCTCATTGTACGTCAATTTTTATAGGTCGTGATGCCACAACTTGAGCCATTGAGTGATCAACAGATAGTGAAAATCTGTAATCTGCGACACTGTTGTCAGCAAGCTGAGGATGCTCTTACTCAAGGAATGGATAAACTTCAGCAAACTCTGGCCCAGAGCATCCTAACGATGACAACAGGAATGGGAAGTTACAGTTCCCAGATGGTTTCTAGTATGGAAAAGTTAGAAGCACTGGAGAGTTTTGTTAACCAGGTAAGGTAACACCTTTTATTATTTAATAGCACGGCGGAATTACCATAGTCATCTTGATACTTATCAAATGATAATGTTCATATCTATCAACAGGCCGATCACCTTCGACACCAAACACTACAACAAATGTCTCATATCTTGACTACACGCCAAACAGCTAGGGGATTACTCGCTTTTGGGGAGTATCTTCAACGTCTTCGTGCTCTGAGCTCGCTTTGGGCTGCCCGTCCTCGTGAACCTACCTAACCTGTTATGACAAAGCAGATGAACATAACTAGGTTACCAGAGCTGTACACGGAAAAATGTAATCACATCTTGCTGTTTTCATACTCTGAAATGCATATTCTTGAGGTAACATGGCAAGTTTTAAGAATCTATGTACATAGGAAGGGGGATCGATGTGTATAATTCTAGAATAATTTGCCTGCTGGATGCTTTTAAGTACTTCATGAGAGTAGGAAAACCTTAACTATGAAATTCAGAGAATTCTCAAAGTGTGATTTTTACATATGGTGAAAACTCAAATGTACTGCTAAGAGATGGTGAATATCCATTGATTCATAGTTATTCAAGATACTACTATTGATGTATTAAGGACAGTTTTCTCCTACTTATAACTTTGAAATAGTAGGTTTACCAACTTCTTAGTTCTCATAAGTCATAATATAGGCAGTGGTGTATCTAATTTTGCAACTAATAAAATATCCAGAAAACTTTATCATTATTGCAAGTTTAAATTTGCTCTTTCATGAAGTTGTATTTAGTACCTCAAATTGACATATGATTATTCACTGTTAGCCAGTATGATGAATTTGTTTGGATTAGTAGTATTGTGTGCCTAGCTCTTGAGAATTTCAAGTGTACAATCTCCATTTATCGAATGCCAGAAACTTTTTTTCTTTCCGAATCCACAAAGAGCAACTTCAATTTTATTGATTCAATATTATAGAAGATAAGCTTTGAAACACTAAAACGAAAAATCAAATACACTTTGCAGATACTAGACAATTAACTAAAGGTCTAATTTGGTGATTATGTTTTTCGATCTATATTGGTTACAGGAATTTAAAAAGGAAATAAACACAATAAATGTCCCGATAATGAAGAAATTTTCAAAAACAATATTGGAGTTGTGGAAGAAAGAGAGAAAATAAAGTTCATGGATTTAAGGTATATACACTGACAGTGTAAATATTTTATTTTATATAATCACATGTGATAACATAGCATGTAAGTTGGCTGTCACTTTTACCATGTTACCGAATACTTATTATTGATATTTACTTATAATTACCAAGTGATTAGATTATGTAAATAATTTATAAATTATAGGCCATCCGTGCATAGAAATTAAGCTCCAAACAAAAAATAAGAAAAAGAAAAACACAGGAATAAATGTAAAGCTGGAGGGTACAACTGTCATTAGTTAATTTTCCCTCCAACTGTAACGAAATAAACCGTCCACAAATCTGATGGCAAAAAACAGGAAGAAAAATACGTAAATAAATAAAATTAGATTCACAAAAGATTCATTTTTTTTTTTGGTAACTAAAGATTCATTTCTCTACTCCATTGAAGGAATAAATTTCAAAAAAACTCTAGAAGACAAACGGATTTTAGCTGAAAATTTCAAAGTTATGAGCAATTTGAGATCAATATGTAGACCACAAGCTGTGTATTTTTCAATAACCTGTTGTTGGAGAGACATATTGGGTAAATCAGCAGCTAGGGTTTCAACCCGAAGCTCTAATTCAGCTCCTCAATGGATGAAACCGTCGGTGCTGCAATCGTCATGGTACAGTACTTCGAGAAGAATTGAAACATGGGATTATCGATTGAATCAGCAGAGGAAAACTGTGACTACCTCTGCTTACAATTGGAACGACTCCAAGTCTCCCTATGAAACTCTCGGTATATAACTTTTGGTTTTAGTTTTCTGTTTCCAGGATTTTTATTCATATTTAATTATTTCGATTTAACGGTGTAAGGTATTTTTACAGGATTAGTGTAGTTTAATCTGTAATATTTTCTAGGTTAATGACTTAGCACTTATTATGGACAGTTACATGTAGTTACCTGTGTATTTTCTATGTTGCTGATATAACACTTACTATAGACATTACCTCTACTTGCATGTACTTTAGGTTACTGATCTAGCACTTATAACACACGAAAAAGCCAAGGGGATTCAATATCTACTATATATACATAAAAAGTAATTTTAACCTTGTATAAACAGCTGGCGAAGGGTGAACCCCCTTCTGCCCCCCTAGCTCCGCCCATGCTTACTATAGACAGTTACCTGTAGTTGGCTTTTAAATGACCTAGTAGGTGTAAAATATTTTTACACTAGTTGTGTATAAAAGTTATACTCTTAGTTTGCTTGGATTTAACTTATATACAAGAGAGAGTGTAAAAACAAAAATTTGCAGAGTAACTGAAGGTTAATTGGTTATGGAGAGTTCTTTACTATATATTTTAGGTTACTAATCCATATTTTGAATAGATACTTGTAATTAGTTTCCAAGTAAGCTGCTTGTGTAAATATTATTCAGATTGTCCATTTCAAACAAAATTCCAGTTCAAAAATATTATTCAGATTGTAAAGGTTGAGCTCGATTTGACGGCGACAACAATGAGAAAATATCTTATAGAAAAAGCAAGGAAGAATTAAAGCGCTATAAGGATATCTTGGATTTTGAAATAGAAGGTAGAAAGTATTGATGCTTTCTGTTGAAATATGTATTTGAATTGGACTTGGTTAGAAACATTTATGTTGTTTTAAATACCTGAACTTTAGCGAAGTATAGAGGATCTAGGAGTTGCAAAACTGCGTTGAAATGAAATTGTTAGTCTGCTAGCTCTAGTAAACATAATAGAACAACCAGGAAGCTGGAAAAAGCAAATTGTAGATGATACATCTTTGTAAGAAACTGTCAATTTCTGTAGAAAATCGTTCTTAACTAACACAGTGCAAGTTCATATTTCATGTGTTCTATGTGTATGAGTGTTCAACTTTTAATCTTTTCGTTCCTTGCCTTTCCTATATTTTTTTTCCTGCTTTTGGTGTTTATTCAATCCAGCTTCATAAAGAACATCTTCATCTTGAGATATGTGTATAGAAGGTGTGATATTCCTATACGAGCAACCTCGTTCCAGCTTATCAAGTTTCTATGGAGTGTCTATACAGTACCTAGATGCTATACTGGTTTAGTAATAAGACACTCTGCAGCTACCTTTTAATCCCCTTCCTTTTAGGTCCCTTTCCCTCTCACTTTGGCATTGCGATGCTTTTGCATTATTTGCAAAAACTGATGCAATGTTTCTGTTTACAGAACTTGAAAGGGATGCAGATGAAGAACAAATAAAGGTGGCATATAGATGTTTGGCGAAGTTTTACCATCCAGATGGTTTGTGCTTAATCTATAGTTGTCATTTTAGTGCAGTCCTCATACATACATTTTCCTTTGCTTACTTTTTTCTGGTATCAGCATCAGTATATTGTACACTTGTATTTGACTGATGATAGTTAGACTGTACATAAAAGAATTTGTTTGATACACTACTCCTTGATATGCAATTCATGCCATTGAATAGAAAGAAAGAACGGTATCTTTAGTATCTATTCATGCGCTTGTATAGGAAGAAAAAGACTCTGTCAATACATATGCTTGTATATATGTGCGTATATGTGGCAAGTTGGTTCTCCGTCCAGATATTTGGACACTATTATCTAGAGAGCTTTCTTATAACATTATATTCAAGTTGTATGCTCATCTTCAATTAGTAGAGCTTTGATGTGATATTACACTTCCACTCTTCCTCCCGATTCCCACTCCTCCCACCCCCACCCCCCCAAAAAAAAAGGAAATCCCCTCTCAAGCTTATGTCTTGAGTTGTCATCACTAGTAAGATGCCTTTCTACTTCTTTTTTTCTGTACTAGGCCTTAGATAGAATCTTTCTTTAGCTTTGGAACTGATTTATATGATGTGTTTTTGTATTAGTTAATGACCCATTCCTGTAACATAAAAGCCGTATTTGATAAGTCCAAAGCAGGCCTGTCAGCGAAGCTAATTCACGAATTGATGTTAGGAAATATTTTTTTGCGTGCCACGAGATCGTTTCCATAAATATTTGATTTATTGAGGTGTTCCATTACAGTTTCTCACAAGTGGAAAATGGACATATTGTAGATAAGATTTTGGTAGGCATAGAACTAATGGCAGTTGCTCATAGGATACATTTAATAATCATATAAATTCCTATTCCTAGCTCAACCGGTTTGGTCAAAATGCTACAGTTGTGTGAACGTCCATTATCTCTATCTCGAAATCTCAAATGAACAAAACTTCAGTAAGCTGAGTCCTCTTGCCCGGTTAGGCTGTTGAAATTCAAAATTTAAGAAAAACAATAATCTAGTAAAAAATGTTGGATGTTATAGGACCACAAACTTCAAGTGGTTTAATTCTTACGCCTCAATGGAGGGATAAATTATGATGGTTTTATATTTTACTTTCCTTCTGAATTGAGCATGGGTGGAGTGATCTCCTTGTTCTGTGTAAAAAGAAATACAGAAAAAGAAAACAATGGTTGCCGTCTCTTGAGGGTCAATCTTGTTAATTTCTTGTTGCTTCAGAGTATTGATTTCCTAGAGCCCTTCTACAGGCTTTTCTCTTCTATATGAAACTAACTTCTGTTTCTATTCCAAGTTTATAATGGCAGAGGGACTCTTGAGGCAGGAGAAACTGCTGAAGCTCGATTCATTAAGATTCAAGCTGCTTATGAGCTGCTTATAGATAAAGACGAACGGAGAAAATATGATAGTGACAATCGAGTGAACCCCATGAAGGTGAAAATTTACAATAATATTGATAGTTGTTAATTTTTTATCTTTTCATCAATAAACAAAGAGAAGAATGGTTATCACCCAGATAGTGTCATTTATAAATCTGAAACGGGCTACACTTGAATGACTCTGTTCTGTTAGACATATAGCCTCTTGTGATGCGTGAAAGCAAATTTTGCTAGCCTGAAAGAACATAATTATAGTGTACTTCTTTTAATATATTTCATCTTGCTTCCTTCTTGAAACATCTGAATGATTGTTTTACGGTGCAAACTACCAACTTCGAGCATGGAAGGAGAAATGTATATAAAAATGAGAAATTAAGAACTTCTTAAACACATATTCCTTATGCTTATTGTGGATGTTGTCTGATCTTGCACTGAATTAGTACCTTTAATTATTGACACCTATCAGTTAGTCGTTGCCGAATTTTCCAAATCCAGCTCCTTTAGAATAGATTTTTCCAGTCATGAAATATATGACATCTACATTCGTATAGGCAGACAGACGCGCATGCCCTTCACTCTTTGCGAGAGTTTTGGCGTCTGGAGTGCAACATTAACTATTATAAATGAATTCAAATAAATGCAAATGAAACCACATACTTGTTGGGTAGGTATAGGACTGGACAAGTAAAATGCGCTGTAGAAGTGGAATCAGAGACGGATCCAGAATTTAAATCTTATGGGTTCAATTTTAAGATTTTTAACATTGAATCCATTATATTTTTAAAGTTATGGGATCATATCTACTATTTTCGCAATTTTAATGAATTTTTACATATAAATTTTTACTCCGCGTCGAAAGTTATGGGTTCAGTTGAACCCGTAACTAGTAGGCTGCATCCGCCTCTGAGTGGAATTCAGTAGGATAGGCCAAAATTGGACTAGATTATCATAGAGGGAGAAGCATTGGCTTTTTGTTCTTTTGGGTGTTTTCTGTAGAGCACATAGACTTGTGGATTATAACATGTGTATAGTGCTCTTCTGTATATTGTTTGGGTTCTGGGGTTACCCTTGTGTTAATAAAATCTTTGTTTTTTCAAAAGCAAATGCGAAAAAAGAAGTGTGTTATGTTCTTGTAACATTGGCACCTTTCTTCTTTTTTTTTTGTTTTTTTTTTTTGTTTTGAGGGGGCTGTAATTGAACTATTTATTATTCAATCCGTCTCCTTCGGTGTAATTAGAATCCCAACTGTTCTTACAATTATCTATTCAGGTCCTATTGAATTCCTGTCCAAATCTCCTAGTTGCTTGAGAATGGACAGAACTCAGAAGTCCTTTCTTTCTTTTTTTTATTTTTTTTATTTTTTGCTTTGTGTTGGTTGAATAGGTCTTCAGAGCAGACATAATTTTCCAATACTAAGATTAGTGATTTTGCAAAAATTTTAGTGTTGTTAGTCACAGCATGATTATCGCCATAGCATTTGCTTATCAGATGGTGCTGGATTTGTTTATATTTTTTGCTGCCAATGGAAGTTTCCAGAATGTGGTTCTATTTGTCTCTAGCTTCTGGCCTGCAGTATCTTCCATTGTCTGAAACTGACATGATGCACTTCCATTATTCATCAGGCATCTGAAGCATGGGTGGAGTGGGTTATGAAAAAGCGAAAAGCATTTGACCAGCGGGGTGATATGGCCATTGCTGCATGGGTTGAACAACAGCAGCTAGAATTAAATCTGAAGGTCCGCCGTCTTGCTCGTTCAAAGGTATCGAGCTGCTATTGGTACATTCTTTGCATTTCTGAGCGCATTTAGAGTCGTCTATAAGTGCTTTTGCCTGTGTTATCCTTGTTAACTTATGCAATGAATTTTTATGTTGGTGATGCACTGATGATGTCACTTCAACATATGTACGTACTACTATCATATATTTGGATGGTCTGAAGAGATTGAAATAGCATTATCTTCATTAAACACGACTTTTAGCATGCAGAGGAAGCATGTTATTTTATTGGATGGAAGTTTAGCTGGTTTGGTGATCCACTTTCTTGCTGTGAACCAGATCTGCATTTGATGTATGCTTTAACTACCCTGGAACATTTGCATCAACATAGTCCACATGTACTTGGCGCATTGATTTTTCCCCAGCGCAATGTCTTTCTATCGTTGCCACAGAGGTGGATTATAGCTAATAGGGGGAACTATCAGCTAGTATACTTAACTAATCCACTTGCCTTACACTATCAGGGGCGGATGTACGCTATAAGTTGCGGTTGCAGACGAACCGAGTAGTTTCTCAAACCCTATGTGTCAAGCAGCAACAACAACAACAACAACAAACCCAATGAGTTCCCACAAGTGGGGTTTGGGTAGGGTAGTATGTACGCAGACCTTACCCCTACCCTGGGAGGGCTGAGAGGCTGATTCCAATAGACTCTCGGCTAGAGAGTGGAATTTGTGTCAAGAAATCTACTAAATATGTATTAATATTAAACTTGGGATGCAGTAACTCAAATGGTCACTGGGTTCAGTGGCATACCAACCCATAAAGTTCAAATCCTGGATACGCCTCTGAACACTATTGCCTCTTTATGAGCATTAAAAGGCTAAATTTATGCATGGCATGCTTGATCAGTTCATCAATCTTTGCTTCTTTTCCTCTCAGCTCCTCTCCTCTCACTGTAGTAATGGATATTCGTCATTTGGTGAACTAACATTAGCCATACACGAGCAGGTCACTTAATCTGGCATTATACAATACATGTGATATATCAAGCAGTCTTGATTAGCTTGCTGTTGCTCAAGCCTTATGTCCTTTTCTCCATTCCACTCTTGGGACTATAGATATAGTCCAGATCCCTTTCCAATTGTCATCTAAAATTTTATTTGACAAATGGACTTTCAGATGGATCCTGACGAAGAAAGGAGAATTATCGCTAAAGAGAAAAAGGCATCCTTGGAGAACTTCAATAATACTTTGAAACGGCATACACTTGTCTTACGGAAAAGAGATATAATGCGGAGAAAAGCAGAGGAAGAAAAGAAAATGATCATTAGCAGGCTTCTTGCTGCTGAAGGTCTGGAGCTTGAAGAGGAGGATGATAAAAATCTGTAGAATATGCGATGTGATGAGTATTGGTTCTCCTCCATTCACCTGGTGAAGAATTCAGTGTTTGGAAAGTTGCTTGAGTTTAAACAATGTATTGTACAATAGAGGAGAAGAAAAAGTTGTATATATGATCTCCCCCATCTGTGGCTGTACAAATGAACGAATAGTATCTTTGTAACTTATTATTCAGATAAACACCAATCATAGGCTGACGTTGTATTATACGGTACTTGGCAAGGTTGCAGAATTCGGTCTTCTATTTGTCCTCGTTGACTCCTTATCTATGCCTTTCATAGATACTATATCTCTTTCTACTAACACTGCTGCCCGTTATTAGCAAACAAGGATCCTGGTAGTCCAATCAAATCTTGTATAGTATTGGTCCGTCTTTTCACTTCAAGATTTTAGCTGCGAGATAGTAGGTGGAGGTAACAGGTATCTAGTGGAATAGTCGAGATACACATAAGTTCATCCAAACACTTCCGTTATATGAGATTCGTACAACTTTAGGAGTTAAAGGGTGGTTCAGATTACCGCATTAGCTGTATGATTCAGAGGCTAACAACACAGTAATAAACATCTATCATATAGAAGTACATCATGCCCTGAGAAAAGGGAGTAATATGGTGCTGCTGACTTCTAAATGGGAAGAATTTAGCCAAAATTGAAGAACATATTTTGCTAATAAATCCAGTAGAACAGCTTCTTTTTCTTTGACGAAATTTATTCTTTAACAAAGAAAAAAAAACTGCACAATTGGAATAAAAGGCACCCCTTGTTCTTTTTCTTCTTTCAAGAGAGCCTGTGGTGGTTGGGTGGAAAGATATCTCTCTTTTTAAACAGCTGGTTACAAAACTGTTGCACGGATGTACTACAATCTCCTTGAAAAGAAGTCAGATTCCAGTGATCCGCGATATATCATTGGTCAGTCCTTAGAGATCATGCATCAGGATGCTTGATGTATGACCAATGCCTATCCACAACAAGCTTAATCAATGGATTCTCAACATCAGCACCAGCCTGAGTTTTGTCCCGACGAACTGTGATTTTTTCCTGCTCCGTGACAACTATAACTTCCTCTTTACGGGTTGAAAGTTCATTAGCTACCACCATATGCATCTTGTACTTTTTGAGGGCCATATCAGCCTTTCCTAAAAGGATATCTGTATCTGTCTCCAGCTGTCGAGAAGCACATGTTGAAATCAGTATTTGAACTATGTGACAAGTAGAGCTATACGAGTCACATACATATATACACATATATTGTGAGAGAAAAAAACAGTGCTTTGATCTAATCAAAGGTCAAGGATATACTTGACTACTCTAATTCCTATAAAACAAAGATTTGACATCTGACTGCTGGATTTGATTATAAAATTTGTCGTCGTATCTCATCCAATTAACAACAGTCATACAAGGTAACTCAATGACAAATACCATGTTATGGAACAAGTGATAAACTATTGACAATCATGTATCTTGATTAACCTAAGACTTTACCAAATGGTTAAAAGTTCTAATTTGTAACTCAAAAGGTATATGCATTATTCTAAACATAAAAAAGTTGCTAAGCAAGATTAGACTACTAATTTCACATCCACCTAACATAAAAAAGTTGCTAAGCAAGATTAGACTACTAATTTCACATCCACCAAATATATGTAAGTATATCACGTCCCCTCCCCAACCACCACTAAGGCACCAACACCAAAAAGACCACATATTTCAACTCTAAGACCTGATGAGGATGTTGGAACAGAAGAAACTATGCACTCCTTTCGTTCATAGTTTATGTGAAGATTCTGACTATGCATGCAGGTTGAGTTAGTTCGACTTTATACGTTCTTTTATTGTTTAACAAAAGGGTATAATTGTTAAGACTCCATATGTAAACTTGATAGGAAAAAGAACACATTATAGTCAAAATTTGAACTGCTTAGTGAGTTTTCAACTCTTGAAACTTGTAAACGACACAGAATATAAGTATTTGTAAATGTATGTCAAATGAAAAATTGGAACACCCGAGACATGTACAATGGAGCTGCATGAATAAGATGAGGGAGTATGACACTTATCTTATTTAGTCCCAGGCAGCAGCGGCATATCATATGCACAATTAAAAGGGTACCCCGGTGCACAAAGCATCCCCCATACACGAAGGGGCCGGGGAAGGGCCTTGGGTGTAATGTAGGCAGCCTACCTTGATGCAAGCATCAATGGCCGACTCCACGGCTCGAACCCGTGACCTATAGGTCACACGGAGACAAATTTACCGTTGTTCCAAGGCTCCCCTTCAACCATATCATATGCACAATTATTCCCAATATATATTTGACATGGTTATTGTACAGTCACCATACTTTTACAGGTACAGCAGACACCAAGATTATGGTCAAGGAAACTCAAGAGATGACCAGCTAACCTTGAAGGATATACAGAAGGCCACAGGTGCCCACTCATTTCTGAGCACATAAAGCATTTTTGGTACTTGAGCAAGCCGCATGTCCAAAGGACCAGATCCTGACTGGATCTTATGCACCGTCTGTAAAGCAAATACCAGAAGATGTGAGAAGAACTGAAATGAGATGACATGTTATATATCTACCATTTTTGGTATTGAAACAAAAGAGGGAGGAGACAAGAAAGAAGATATCCAGAAATTCACAAAGATTGAACTGCATCCAACCATTTCAAACTGCAAATTCAACCAAAACAAAGAAGAATTGAAATGATTACCATGCTCTCCCATGGTACATAGAAGTCAGAAACTGCAGCTGCAAGATAGAACATAGCACTAGGCCCACGGCTCCTTAAAGAGACAGCAATCAGCCGAAGAATCTGCTTAATACAGATAACATTTAATACTCTTTTAAGGCACTCATACAGTATAATAGAGATGGTGCATGAAGCTTGTTCAAAGTTGAAGTTTCTAAGACACCAAATAGATGCATCAATCTACTAACAATGACCTACTTATCAGAAAAAAAAATCTTGAACATTACCTGCAAATACTCAAAAATTGTTGTAAACGGTAATTTCAACAAGAAGCCCCCGTTAACTGCCTGCAATTAAAAATTCTTAAGGTTAATTGTTGTCAAAAGTAAGTGAAATAGTGAAATGAACAATCAACAAAAATACTTACAGAACGATTTTCAGAAATGGCTCTCTTCACCACTTCAGCATGCGATGGGTCCACTGAGATAGCGCCATTAAGAAAATGTAAGTGAGACTTAAAAGTATGAGATGGTCAATAACAACAGACAAGTTCAAATTATTCCAAGAAATGCAATAAATATTCTCCCAGTAACCCTAACCAGCCAGGAAAACACACAACATCACTGTAAAGAAAAAGGAAGATTAATATGAACAAAAGTTACTCTTCAAACTACATCACATCAAGAATTACATTTCCTCCTTATGATTCTCTCCATCTATTTTATTAGGATCTGCTGCACCTCTATAACATAAAGTACGAAAAGGTATTGAGCAATTAGATATTATTAAAATGAGCCTATATAATTAATATAGAATATTTTATTAAACTCACCATGCAGTTCTATGCTGCTAGGAATCTAGAAAGTATGGATATCTGTTAAAATGGACAAATGGTGTCCGTCAGTATTAGGCATAAATGAAAAACTAACAGACCTTGAATACTTGAATGATCAGTTGAAGTAAAACACTCGAGCAATGGATCATCAGGCAGCGATCTGCAAAATGGCTGGCAAGTTCCCCTGCATATGCAGAGTTTCATGGCTTTAAAAATCCGGTCAGGAGCATATACTATTTTTCAAAGGGAAGAATCATGATCGAGATAATGGTAATATATAGCAATGCACTTGAATACAAACCTACGGTAAAGAAAGATGACAGAATAACCAGCCTTCAGAAAGTACCTGCAATTCCAGTTTAATTTGAATGTAAAACGTATGTGAACAAAATGTGTGATAAAAGACGTAAGTATGTGTTTCAAGATATACTCTGTGGAAGCTGCTCCTCTATGACCAGAGCTAAAGTTGTCAATATAACGAACACATCGCTTCTCCAAAGGAACAGTTGTACCACCGGAAGTCACACACACCACCCTGTTTATTTTTCCATTTTCTGAACATGACGACAAAAAAAAAGTCAATAATTAAAGTCAGGCGTTGTCATTGTCCAGATTGTGGAAAAGGAAGTTGAAACAATACAAGATATGAAAGCTGAATGTAAGCAAATTTGCCTGATGATGAAGAATTCCGGTCAACAAATTCCTTCAATTTTGTTTCTATTTCAGCAGCATCTTTTAGTGGTGGAGCTGACTCAAAGAAGGCCTTGATTTTAAGTGTTGCTGTTTCTGGTACATCATCGTTGCCATTCATCGAGTTCATGGCAATCCTTGCAGAGATTGTTTATCTACAATTTGACAATCCGCCAAGATCACAACTTCAGAACAACCCATTCATCAATGAAAAGAAGATCAATAACAGAAAATTTCCAAGATAAGGAAGCTAGATATCCTCATCAACTCAGACCACAACTCTACAACAATTCAAATGGAGAAAAGAAGGGATAATAAAATGTGCTTATGATTAGATTTCATCCCCTCAATTAGCTAATATTAAAAAACTAACAAGTGATAATAGAAATAACGTGTAGAACAAACCTGATTTAGTAATGGCTTAGATTAAAGAATTAAGCTTTTAAAAAATGTACCTCTTTAAATCTCCTAATTTTCAAATCACCACTAGAAGACGAAACAAAGGACAGGAATTATCCCTACCAATTACACTTCAACTTGGAATGGGATAGGCCCAAGTAGAGCACAATGGATATAAATGATTCAAATAGCTGACTCCAACTAGTTTGTCATCGAGCTGTAGTTAAAGTTTGCACCTTGTGAAAAAAAATAAGAGAAAAACATTCAAATTTGATACATCAAATAATTCAAAATTATTAAGAAATGATATTAAGTTCCTACACTTCAATTGATCTAAGACATGAACTTTAAATTATTAATTGCTCGAAAAACAAAAAAATACTAACACCAACATAAAATTCAGCCAGAACTAAGATTTTACCAAAGATTCACATTTCTCTAAAAAATTATTAAAAGTTTTCACCTGATGTAATGGAGAAGAAAGAAGACAGATAAAAACCCCAAATTTTGATAGAACCAGATAGTTAAGCAATCAAAACTGAAAGATTCTTAGTATAAATATACAAATTTGAGTGAAATTGGGCAATTGGGTTTTAGTATTTTACCCTTTNATATATATATATATAAGAAGAAAGAAATATATAGTTGAGCCAAAAGCGTAAATTATTTAAGAGTGTTAAAAAATATGGCAGATAATAATTGTTATAATTAATAGCCGCCAGTTCCCGCCAACCGCTTGGTCAGATTTTGAGGGCTATCTACAAACTACAATTTGTTGTTCTCAACTTTGAACTGATATTATCGTTTTAGTATTTTTTTAAATAAAAGTACGAGTTTAATAAATAAATACAGAAGGGAGATATGCCCTATGAAAACCTTATTAAACCTCTAATTTCAAGAAAACATAATAGGAAAACCAAATATTTTTGTGAAATTAAAATTACATTAAATATAAATAATTAAGTGATTCTATTGGATTATGTCAAAAAATGGAAACTAGTTACTATTCATTAGGTTTTATCATTTCACACTTCTTCTGCATTTTGTGTATTAGTTATGCATATACGATACAGCATTATTAACTCTTCATTTCCCGTTGTAGAGTTACTTGAAATATTTTTGTGAAATTAAAATTATATTAAATATAAACAATTTAGTGATTCTATTGGATTATTTCAAAAAAAAAATGGAAACTAGTTTCTACTTATTAGGTTTATCATTTCACAAGATAAAACTGATACAAATCATTCAAATTTTTAGAAATTTTTAAAAATATGCAAATATGATTATGAAAGTAAAGTTGTTTCATATTAGATTATAGGATGAGAATGAAAAGGCAGTATACACCAAAAAGCCCGACATCCATTCTACATAAAGTGTCGTTACTTAGTAGTGGGGAGTAGAGGGGGCTATAACAAGGCGCAGACACCTCAAATAATTAGGTCTAATGTATAATTTTGAAAACTTTGGGGACCGATCTATAAGTCTTTACTCTTATTTCGGTGCTTTTTCTTTCTTGTTTGTTTCTAACTTTTGTAAATATGCCAGTCATGATCTATGTAAACTCTAACTTTCACTCTTAAACTATTTACCAGCATTTATATTCTTGAAGAAAAAGATAGCGAGTCAGTGAGAAGACTTTGTTAGTATTGACTCTCAATTGTTGGTATGTAAGATCAACAACCAACTAAGATTCAACCATAACTTATGGTGGCGTTTGGACATAAATTGTTTAAAACTTTTAAAAAAAAAGAGTATTTGAAGATGAGATGAAAAATAATTTTTAGAAGTAGGAATTGAGTTTGGATATATATTTTACTTGAAAAGAAGTTAAAGTTTTGTGAGTAGAAAACTTTAAAACTTGAAAAATACTTGTAACGACCCGACCGGTTATTTTGGGCATTAGCATTCCGTTTAGCTATTTGGTGTAACGACCCGAATGATCGGTTTGTGAATTAACATCCCGTTCGGCGGCGTAAGGTCTCGAGCAGCTTCGTATTATGTGTCATGACTTGCGTGTGTGGCCTAGTTCAGTTTTCGGATGATTCGAGATCAATTTGGACGAAGGATTCCTGTTTTAGAAGCTTAAGCCGTAAGAGTTGCCCGGAGTCTTGACTTTTACGTAGACGACTTCGAAATATCGTTTTGATGATTCCAATAGTTTCATATGGCGATTTTGGACTTAGGCGTGCGTCCGGATTTGGAGGTCAGTAGGGTAATTTGAAGCATTTCGCGAAATTTGGAAAGTTGAAGTTTTGGAAGGTTAAAAGGTTTGATCGAGAGTTGAACTTGGTGATATCGGGTCGAAATGTGATTTCGAGAGTTAGATAGCTCTGTTATGTCATTTGAAACTTGCATGCAAAAATTGAGGTCATTCCAGGTTGATTTGATATGTTTCAGCGCGAGTTTTGGAAGTTAGAAGATTTAAACATTTATAAGTTCGATTTGTGGTGCGATTCGTAGTTTTGACGTTGTTTGATGTGATTTTAGACCTCGAGTGGGTCCGTGTTATGTTAAGGAACTTGTTGGTATATTTCGATGGGGTCCCGGGGGCCTCGGGCGTGTTTCGGATGGGCTACGGGTCATTTAGTAATTGTTTTGGATGGCTGATCTAATATCTGATCTCCCTTATACGCGATCGCGAAGTTCAAGCCGCGTTCGCGTAGGCTGTGCTGGGACTAACCATTTTCCTTCTTCGCATTCGCAGTGTGTGGTCCACGATCGCGTAAGTGTGAGTTTGGCAGATCCGCATTCGCGCAGCACAACCCTAGCAGCTGGTATATTTTCTCCTTCGCAATCGCATGTACTCGTTCGCGATCGCGTAGTACATTTCTTGAGGCAATAGCTGGGCCCTTCTTCGCCATCACATGCTTTTGTTCGCGATCGCATAATACATTTCTGGGCACTAGTCATTCCTTCTTCGCGATCGTGATTTGTAAATCGCTCAGCAACAAAATATATTTTCCAAAATTGTGGGTTTTGTTCATTTTTTATCTTTTGAGCTAGAGACCTCGGATTTGAGCGATTTTTGAGAGGTTCTTCACGTGGTTATTTGGGTAAGTGATCTTTACCCGGTTTTGATTTTATTTCATAGTTTTATCTTTGTTGTCTTCATTAAATTAGAGAATTAAGTTGGAAGTTTGGGGGAAATTTGTAAAATCTTTCAAAAGTGTAAAATGATGATTTGAAGGACGAATTGATATCGGAATTTGATAATTTTGGTATGCTTGAACTCGTATCGCAATAGGTGTTCGGGTTTTGTAAATTTTATCGGGTTCCGAGGTGCGGTCCTGGGGGTTGACGTTGGGGTTGACTTTTTAATTTTATTAAGGATTGAAGCTTTATTATTCGGAATTATTTCCTATGAGTTTTATTTATGATTTGAAGTTATTTTGGCTAGATTTGAACCGTCCGAAGATTGTGTCACTCGAGAAGGTCATTTTAGAGTAACGGTCTAGCTTCTTTAAGGTAAGTATCTTGCCTAACTTTGTGTGGGTGAAACTACCCCTTAGTATTTGAGTCATTTGTGCTAATTGTGTCACGTGAAGCCCGTGTACGCGAGGTGACGAATACGTGCTCGGATTTATTTGTAGAAATTTGACCGTTGGACTCTTAGATTCTTATGTTCATTAGATATGAAATTGTTTTGCCATGTTAAATCCCCCATTTACTAAATTCACCCTTACATGTCTTATTTAGAATTAATTGTTTCATGTTCTACCCTTATTGCCGATTAAACTCCTATGTGCCTTAACTAAAGTTGTTGCCTCTTTTATTGACATGCTATTTTTTCCGTACTTGTTTATCCTTAATTGAAGTTATTATTATCTTTTCCGTAATTGCTTATCTTTAATTGAGTTTGTTGTATCTCTTCCGTAATTGCTAAACCTTAAATGAAGTTTTGTTATCCCTTTTCATTGTTGACTTATCCTTAGTTGGAATCATTGATTCATATTATCTCTCTTATCGTCGAATTGTACTTTTGTGGAATCCTTGCTACACATTATCTCTTCCTTGTTGAGATATTCTTGTTGAGACCATTATTCTCTGTTGTGTCTTTCTTTGTGAGCTCGTTCTACCGTTTTCTTGTATTCTGAAGTTCCTGAGTTGATTTACTTGTCGTATCCTCGTGTTATTATTGTTGTTGCTGTTGTATTCAGTGTTGTCGAGCCGAGGGCTATACGTGGTTATGATATTGAAACTGTTTTGAGGAAATATTGTGGTATATGGGCACGTATTGTGAAAGTCATTTTGTTGAGCTGTTATGTTGTGGCACACATGTTGTTGTTGAGAGGATTGTTATGGTGTTTGCACAAGGTTTATGCCGTGCTATTGTTATGATGTTTGCACGAGGTTTCTGCGGTGGTGTTGTTATTATTGATACGCATGCGGTGGTATAAGGTCTGGGTGTTGAAATGCATGCGGTGAGATAAGGTGGGCTTGATACGCGTGGCTAGTAGGGGAATTACTAGAAGCCATGCGGTGTGATAATAAGGTGGGCTAAAATGCGGGATTCTATTTCGAGTAAAATAATTTTCAAAACTAAATGTAAAGGCTCCCGCGGTAATATAAAAAAATATTGTGATTTATTTTATGATTTGAGACTACGAGGCGGTACCTCGGTAGTGACTCCTGTTGACATTTCTCCATTCTTTTGTACTTGTCTTGGATTGTTGTTTCCTTAGCATACTATTAATTATCTTTCTCCGTATTGCATTATTGCTTAGTTCTGTGTAGTTAATCTTGTTGTACTATTCGTTATTTTAATTTCATTGTTGTCTTTATTACACTGTACATTTTATGGTGATCGTGTCTTATGTTCCATTCATTGTCTCTACTCTTACATGTTGACTTGAATTGTGGTAGAAATCTTGCATAAGCATACACTTAAATAAATCACCCATATCGGTCTAAGAAGATGAATCCCGATGTTTTGACCATTTACATGTACTCCCATGTACTTGCCTTATGTGTGAGAGTTATCATGTTAGCACGTGAGTTGTCCGTGCAGTCATGAGTCATGATTATTGTTGGCACATGAGATATGAATTGCAATGTGGACACAAGATGCCGAGTGATTAGGGTTCACGAGTTGGGACCCGTGATTTGTGATTTTGTGGTTTGGTACCTCGTGGAAATTCTTGGGTAAACCTGGTGTGAAAGCGGTTGTTCCTATTGAGTTGTCACTTATTTTCCTTTATTTGGTTTCACCGGATTGATTTGTATTCAGCTTACTCTACAGTGTTATTACATGTTGTGTCTCGTTGCTAACTGTTGCCTTTAGTCCCCATTACAAACATTGTATTATTATTGACATCATGCCTAGCTTTATATTGATATTGTTCCCTGTTAGTTCTACATTTATACTTGTTCAGGTGTTTAGTCCAATGGGTGTCTTGCCTGTCCCTCGTTACTACTCCATCGAGGTTAGTCTTGATACTTACTAGGTACCGTTGTGGTGTACTCATACTACATTTTTGCATATTTTTGTCCAGATCTGCGATGCCTCGGTTATTATTTATTATTATCTAGCTGGTCGAGCATTGTTATGGAGAATCAAGGTAAACCTGTCGTCGCGTTCACAGGCCTCAGAGTCACTTTCTG